AATTGGATTTAAATGAGGCAAAGTTGGCAAAGTCACTAGCTTCACTTTTTCTTCCAGAGTGATCAGAGTCTAGTGGCAAGACAAAAATCAAGGTAACTGGCAATGGTTCAGGATGCAGTGGGGCAGCTAGGGGGTGCGGTAGATAGAGCACTAGCCATGGAGTCAGGAGGGCCTGAGTTCAAATCTGGCCTCAGACACTTGACACTTACTAGCTATGTGCCCCTGCGTAAGTCATTTAATCACAATTGCTTCGCAAAAAAGAAAAAAAAAGATGAGGTGGATAAGCTTGGCATCTTCATCATCTAACCAAGTTCTCCACAGTTCCTGTTTCTACTGCCTTCATAGCCGATTCGAACAAATTGTTCTCATCTGCCCATTCAACCAGGGAAGTCTTCACATGCTTGGGGGAGACACCCCCCCCAACTCACCAAAGGGTTTGAGGCCATTGATTACCTTCAACCTGGATAAGCTTGTCTGCTGAAACAGTTTACTGCTGCACATGCTCCTTGGAGCCACAAATGAGAGTTGTGTAGGAGGTAAATACCAAAGGTGGAAAGTTATTCTGAAAAAGGCTTGGCAGCCCTCACATCAGGTAATAGTCTTCCCTGAACACCCATACACCCCACATCTAAGTAGCAGCACGTCCAAGTAGTAGTAGGGACAACAACATATGACTCTCAAGAACATGGAAGAAAATAGTCTCATCTAAACAAAAAGTTCTAATCCGGGAAATGAGGCTGCAGATATGAGTAAATTTTTAAAAGTGCCAAACACCAAGAAGAAATATGATGGATTAAAAGAAGTACAAGGAATAAGTACAGAAAAAGAGAGTAACATGACCAAGGAGAGTCTCAGAGAAAAGAGTGACCTAGACATAAACACTACAAGAGAACCTGAAAAAACTGTAATGTTAAATGGAAACTAGGAAGAGAAAAATCAGGACACTGAATTGCTGAGAACAGAAGGTCATCAACCTTGCCCAAATGTTAGACTTCATGAAAATTAGAATGGGCCAAATAGAAAGCAACCTCCATGAGATACCCAACAAGAAGAAATAGAAAGAGGAATTCCATTTAAGATAATTATAAAGAGTATAAAATACTTAGGAGTCTACCTGCCAACATATACATAGGAACTATATATACAATAATTACAAAATACTTTTCACACACAAAGACAGATATAAACAATTGGAGAAACATCAATTGCTCATGAAAAGGTATATATAGTAATATAATATAATAATAACAATATAATATATAATAATAACAATAACAATATAATAATAAAAAGACAATTCTACCTAAATAAATTTATTTTATTTATTTAATAACTTACCAATAAAACTAACAGAGACTTATTTTATGAAGCTAGACAAAATAATAACCAAATTCATCTGGAAGAATGAAAGGTCAAGAATATCTAGGGAGTTAATGAAGAAAAATGTGAAGGAAGGTGGTCTAGCAGTACAAGATCTCAAGCTAAATGGTAATCATCAACAGAATTTGGTACTGGCTAAGAAAAAGAATGGTTCGTTAGTGGAACAGAGTAGGTACATAATATACAGAAGTGAATGATCATAGTAATCTAGTATTTGATAAACTCAATGATCCAAGCTTTGGGGCAAGAACTCACTACTCAACAAAAACTGGCAAGCAGCCTGGCAGAAACAGGGCATTGACCAACATCGCACAGCACATACAAAGGTAAGGTCAAAATGGGTACGTGATTTAGACATAAAGGATGATATCATAAGCAAATTTTAAAAAATCATCTGTGAAATCTCTGGATAAGGGGAGAGTTTGTGACCAGACAAGAAATAAAGAGGATCACAGGAATTAAAATGGAAAGTAAAAAGGGTTTGCACAAACAAAACCAAAATTAGAAGGAAAGAAGGAAACTAGGGAAAACATTTTCCATCAAATTTCTTTGACAAAGGGCTCATTTCAAATTAATAAGGGCCATTCTCCAATTCATAAATGACTAAAGGCTATAAAGGTAGTTTTCAGAAGAAGAAATCAGAACTATTAATATCATGTGAAAAAATGTTCTAAATTAATAATAATTAGGGAAATGCAAATTAAAACAATTCTGAGGTACCACCTCATACTCATCAGATTGGTTAATATGACAGAGAAGGAAAATGGCAATATGACAGAAAAGGAAAATGACAAATGTTGGTGAGGAGGAAAAGTAGGTAAATTGATGCATGGTTGGTGGGGCTGTGCACTGGTCCAACATTCTGGAGAACAATTTGGAATCATGCTTAAAGGGTTATAAAACTGTTCATGCCTTTTGACTCAGTGATACTACAAGGACTGTTTCTCAAAGAGATCAAAGAAAAATACTCATAACAAAAATATTTATAGCAGCTCTTTTTGTGATGGCAAAGAATTGGAAGTTGAGATATCCATCAATGTGGCTGAACAAGTTGTGGTATACGATTGTGATGAAATATTATTGTGCTATAAGAAATTATAAGCAGGATGGTTTCAGAAAAACCTGGGAAGACTTATATGAACTGATTCAAAATGAAGTGAGCAGAACCAGAAGAAGCAACAGCAATATTGTAACAATAACCAACTATGAAAGACTGAGCTACTCTGATCAATACAATATTTTATTTTACTGGCAAGAGTAAAATAAATCATAAGATTATATTAAAAAACTAAATCCATGAGATAACAAGAAATATTTTTAAAAATTCAAAAAATTGAAGAAATCAAAACAGAAGAAAATTCAAAATATATACTTTAAAAAACAACTGACCTGGAAAAAAAGTTGAGTACTCTCTAAAAATTAGAGCCCTCTCCGAAAATACACTTGGATGCCATATTTAAATAAATAATAAATTAAATCTTCCCATACCAATTGGAACCAGAGGGCAAAGGGAAAACAGAAAACAATAGCCATTTCTGAAAGAAACACCAAAATGAAAACTACCAGAAATGTCAATGGAAAAATGCTGCCTCCATCCAAAAAGAAAATGTTCAAGTACCAAAAAACACTCAGGACCAAACAAGATGTGTAAGCTATCACTTTAAGGAAAAGAACAACTTGGGAAATGATATTTCAAAAGACAAAAGATAAAAGCTTGCAACCAAAAGTAACAACCTATATATAATCCTATGAGGAAAATGGACACAATAGAAGAGAAGACTTACAACCATTCCTATTCCTCTTTCTTCATCTTCTTTTCTTTTAATACAGAAGGTCTTAGGGCCAAAGAGTACAAGAGGACAGAGGGGAGGGAAACACAGAATTAACAATCATAGCTGTGAACATGAATGGAATGAATTTATCCAAAAATTGGAAATGGAAGGCAGAATGAATTAAAAAGCAAAATCCAACAATCTGTTGTTCACATGAAATACACTTGAAATATATTTACACAGAGTTTAACATAAAGAGCTGAAGCATATGATTCAGCTAATTTTTTTAAAGGGAAGAAGTAGCAATCATGATTTCAGATAAGGTATCTGTAAAAACACTTGATTAAAAAAGATAAATGAGAAAATGATATTATACTTAAAGGTATTATAGATAATGAATCTATGTGAATATTTAACATATATTCACTGAACAGCAAAACATCTAAATATTTAAAGAAAGAAATATAAAATTTCATGGAGATAGCAATCAATAGTAATATACACATATATGTATATAGTAAAAACTATAATACAGGGAATGTCAATGTACCCCTTTCAGAGCTGGACACAAATAAGGTTAAAAAAGAAAGAAGATAAGGACCTGAATAGAATTTTACAAATAATCTATGTCCTCTTTGAGAACAAAGGACAAACAACAATAAAAATGGAAAATAATGTATTAATTTAATATTGAATTATTTGGCTTATTCAATGCCATGTCAATTACTTACTATTCAATATTTAATAAATTCTGTTTGGGGGATTCGGAGCTAGTTTATTAATAAGAAGAAGACTCATTTCTATTAATTTGTGAGGAAATATCAGAACCCTTGATTGCCTTAGAGCCTAGAAGAGCAAAGTAATTAGTCATGAAGTAGACTAAGGGATGGAGGTTAAGGTGATTGATTAGTACACACAGTTGATACTCAAATAGTATATAGATACGACAATAAAATTGAACTACGCATGTCTCAAGTATGTGTTCATGTTTATATTTAACGTTAGCTAGTTCTATAATTTTCATGTAGATCACTGACTCTTTGATAAACATTATCCATGTATGGTTTTAATGAGATAATTCTATTGCGTTTTGATCTCACAGAAAGCTATTATGTCTGTACTGCATGTCAGGCACCATAAATCATAGTCCTCTGGTTCATATTTTTTGAAAAGTGCCTCATAGGAACTGAATAGATGGCTATAGTCTAATTTGTATTAGCCATGAGTCTGTAATTGTAATTGTAGGAGATTCATTGTTAACCTTGGATGTTCCTTGGGTCTCCTGAAGTGAAGAAACTATTAGCTATGCTATCTACAGTCATTAGAAGTGAAACCCACATGAAATCCACCCTTTGGCATAAAGAACTGATATAAAAAATGTGTTATATTAGTAAGGAGTAAGTTATTAGGTTAAAACAATACTCCATTTAAATTTGCATACAAGACTATTTGAAAGTTTGTTCTTATTATCCAATCTCTTTCTGATATTTTTGGGGAAACAAGCATAAAAATAATATGGTATTATATTCAATATCATCAAAGCTTAGATTGGAGTAAATAAGTAGCCGTGGGGGGGAAAAACACCGATTATCTTTTATAGAAGGAAATAATCTAATTTGGGAGCGGGGATTTTACAAAATGTGCCTCTGAACCTGTTAGCTAGACTCTTTTCGTGTCACTTTCTTAAGTTAAGTAGCAGTTATTGAAATGGAATAGTAAATGAACAAATGCCAGCTTATGTTCACTAACAGGACGTGCTTCTTATCTAGAATCACTAAAACAATTCTATAGACTCAGGCTACCGATTGATTTAACAAGGCTTTTAAAAAGAATGTAGCTTTGACTTACCATAGAAGCTAAGGTAACCAAACAGAGCAGCAAGCAGATACATAATCAGCATTCCTGTAATGGAGATGTTTGACACAGTCTGCATTTTCTTTCGAGACCGACTGAAAAGGGAGAGAACAAACTGAACTTTTAGTTTTACAAAACTCTTGAGGAATTTGTGAAGGCAGTTGCTGTTCAACCTCTTGTCTAGTTACTCAATTTATAGTTGATTTATAATGCAAATTTAAATTCGATTTCTAAGAGAGCTATGAAGAACTTGTTTCAAATACTATTCCTGGCCTACTTGCTTATACTGAATAATATTTTATTGAAGGTGAATAAAAACCTGACTACTAAATAACTAACATAAAGATCAAAGTAGTTTCAAGCCTAAGGAAACATATTAATTTTATTTTGAAATGAACTTATTCACTATATTGGAAAACTTTACTATCAGAACCAACCACTTCACCCAATAAGACTCCTAGTTCCTTAGAGACAGTTCTTAGATATCCATGGATGCTGTCCAATATGTTATTATCAAACTATGTCATCATTATGAAAATGGAGAGATTGTCATTGATATTTTGTTAGAAGTTCCAGAATTTATGAAGAAATGTAACTTTTGAGAATGAGCATTACAGTGCTAATTTTAACATGCTGAAGTTCCAAATATAATACCCACATGGTAATGTCCACTCTATTTTTAAGAAGTAAAGCTGCTCTAGTCATGATTTCATTCTTTTAGGTAATACCTAGAACTAGTAATGGGCAACTAGATGGCACAGTAGATACAGTGCTGGGCTTGGAGTCAGGAAGACTCATCTTCCTGAGTCCAAATCTGGCTTTAGACACTAGCTGTATGACCCTGGGCAAGTCAGTTTGCCTCAATTTGCTCATCTATAAAAATGAGCTGGAAAAGGAAATGGCAAATTACTCCAGTATCTTTGCCAAGAAAACCCCAAATGGGGTCATAAAAAGTTGGCTATGACTGAAAAAAAAATGACTGAACAGCGAAAGAACTAGTAACTAGCCATTGTTTTTTTTTTTAATTTGGAGGAAAAACAGTGGAGGTAAAGGGATGTGGTGCTTATGAAAAGGACAGTCACACTACAGGTGAAGTCAAGCCAGGAGAAGTTATAACCCTTTCCCCAGAGAATCCTCAGCAGAGGACATCAATCCATCAGCAATTGATACAGGGAGAAAGTGTGTCTCTCCTGAATGTTGACACCCTGGGACAAAGGATCATTTGCTTCCTACTAATTACAGATTTTGTGACACTTCCCATGTTCTCTAGCACATCCTCCCTAGTGTCCAGTATATGAGGAGGGGATTCTAGTCTTCAATGGTGAAAGAGCTCATGAACCAGTTTGTAGAGATGGAGAATCCCATCTAGTGACCACATTTTATAGATGAGGAAAATTAAGTCCAAAAGAGAGCAAGATGGTTAACCATTTCCAAAGGGGAAATGCTGAATTAAAAATCTTTAGTACTGATCATCAGTGAAGTTATTGTCTATCATTTATGCAATGAATGCTCTGAGCTGTGAATATGTCCAGGCATGTTCCCATGTGACATTATAAGATATGGTCTGTGGAAAATTCTAAAATTATGTTTCCACAGAGGGTACATGGGAACAAGATGAGCACATTTTAAAATCAAATTATAAAGCTAAAACAATGGCAACCTTACTCTTTAAGCTCACTGTAGATTGGAAGTACCTCAGGGTGGCATACAAAAGCAAATGCAAGGATGGGGATTGCATAGGCAGTCTGAAAAATAAGAATAAAAACCTTTGGTTAGCCTTTTACCATAAATAGCACTACTGTGCCACCTAGGCTTAAGTCACAGAAACTTAATGTGTCATGTTAATATGATGGTTGGAGACAGTTTAGGGATTCTCGCTTACCCGTGAGTTAAATGCAAAGTATTTTGGTTGACATTTGTCCATACTCTGTGCTTCATATTCCACATCCCTCCTGTGAAGGGAATCTTTGGCCTGCTTCTCATGTAGATCTGCAACATTTCCATTAGTATAATCCATCATGAAATTCACTTCAGTAGTCTGAGATTTATTGGGTAACATCTTGAGGTGCATCAGAAATGTATTGTTGTATGTCATATTTCCAACACTGTGATCCAGGACAGGTAGAGGACAAGGAATTTGGAATTTCTTATAGATTACCTAATTTGGAATGTAAGGGGTGGAGAGAAATACAATGAAAAAAATGAGACCAAAATTTGTGAAAGATGATAGTGGTATGTGTTATTTTTAAAAAAAAAGCTACTGTTGTGATTGCTAGTTCAAGGATAAATATACAATTTTTCAGGTTTCCATCATCCTTATTAATACCTTGTATTCTCTATCCTCATTGAAACAACTGCAGCGTTTTGGGTCTACTACTGACAGCCACAGTCAGTGTACAAGACATTTTTGTTCACTAAAGCCACCTCCAGTCTACTTTACCTGCTCAGAATTACATGCTGCAGTATTATATACTACAATGCTTAGCACTAACGATATTGTCACTATCCTTCAAAAAAATTAATGTGAAGTGAAAAAAAGTTGTCTGAGGAATTGAAAATGAATGAAATAGAAGTGAAGGGTTGAGGTAAACCTAATGGCCCCTTTGCATCTTCTCTTCTTGGAGAAATGAGAGGGTAGAAGGAAAGGAGAAGAGGAGAGAGGAAGGGGGAAGAAGGAAGAGGAGACAGAGTGGGAAAGGGAGAGGAAGGAGAAGAGAAAAGGGAAAAAGAGAGAAAAGGGAGAGGAGGAGGGGAAAGAAAAGAAGTGAGAGGGAGTAGAAAAGGAAAGGGAGAACTTTGAGGTTTTTGTTTTTTTTTTTCCCTAGGCAATGGGGTTAAGTGATTTGCCCTGAGTCACACAACTAGTGAGTGTTATGTGTCCAAGGCCAGATTTGAACTCAGGTCCTCCTGACTCCAGGGCTGGTGCTGTATCCACTATGCCACCTAGCTGCCCCAAACTTTGAGGTTTTTAAAGCATTTCATATGCACTATTTCATTTGATTGTATTCTATTCCATCATCAATGGTGTTAGGGTTATAGGGGTTGATATGGTGCATACCAACTTCTCGTTTGAGGTTGCTAATTGCTTTCCCCCTGAAAGGGAAGGATCTGAAGAAGGGAAGAATCCCTGATTGACTCTGATCCCTGACTGTTTCTTCTGCCTTACCAAAAGTCTCTCTAATATACCTGCATTATGTCATTCAGCAATTGTACTGGTGTTCTACTTCATCTGTTTTCAAATTGTGAGATTTTTTTCCCTCATCATTCAAATTGTGATGAAAAGAAAAAATGGTTAGTTGTGAGACCCATTTAATGATACATAAATAATCTAAGTATTAGAAATTCATATTGCATTGAGCCATAGAGAATATGTCAAGAAATCACTTACTACACTGACAAAAAATACCATGCAGGTAAGAGAAAATCCACTGGTGTAACCAAGGTAACCTACAAAAAAGGAGAAAAATGATTTAGTCAATAATCATTGCCAAGGTACATCCTACATAATCAAACTAGGAGAAGCAATATGCAAGTTTCCGTTGGGAAATAAATTTACCTAAATTTTTAAGAAGAGAAAGTGGAAGAATAATCCCAACAGACACAAATATAACGAGGTAGTTGCCATTGAGGTACCATTCTCTAAAAGAGAAAAAGAAGAAAGGTATACTAGCAGCTAAAAAGGTCAAATAGGCTGATTTAGTTGAAGTCATTGAGAGAACATAAGAACATACCCAGTATTCTCTTCAAGTCCCATGAATGTCCTGATTACTTCAGGTAGTTCATATTTAATAATAAAGAGGTAGCTTGACATTGCTAAAATGAGGGGGAAATGGTCAACATAGTGTCATTAGGTTTCAGCGATGAACAGTGGATAACATTAAAAGCATATGCTAAGTCAAAAAAGGTAATGGTATCAAGCACATATTTTCTTCTTCTATGCCACAATTAAAGCCCTACTCCAAAGCTTTATTATGACGTATGATATGACCCTGGGTTTGTTAAGGTTATGATAGGAGAATGTAAGTTCTAATAGTTCTTACCAAGTTGGAAGAACTTTAAGGTCAGGGACAGTCATAGACTATGTTTCAGTCATATGATGACCACTTTGGTAAGTCTGGAAAGGATTAGCACTAAAAAACTGGCCACTTCCTAGTAGTGACAATTTAAGCCATGGCAACTCATGAAGAACCATCTACTAAGGCAAGGAGGAGTTGTAATTTATATTTGTAGAGGGGATACTCTCCCTAGTGAAATCAGAGATATTTTTAAAGTACTGAGCAGAGCCATAACCAGCGCAGCATGGAAGGAGCTTTGTCCTAGGGGACTGATATGGGGGAGGGGCATGTTTCCACATTTCTTCCCTATTTCACACCTTTCTTCATGGTCCTCTAGAGCAGAAGTACCAAACATGTGGCCCAAACCAGATTAAAATAAAATTGAGAAATATTCAACAAAATAAATAAAAATGCTGTCAAATATAAACAATATTAGTATCTTCTCTAAAAACAGAGGGAGTACCCACCCTGTGAAACTGGCAAACTGACCCCTCCTAGGACTGTTTAGTTGTTCCCCTTGCCATTGAGCCACTGTGACTCTTTCCAAACCTAGACAATCCCAAAGTGACTTTGCTCCAGATACAGATTTGATTATTTATGAAATATATTTCAATATAATATTCTAGTATTAATGATTAACACACCATTCCAAAGTAAGACATGAAAAAATAAATGTTCTAAACAACTGCTTCCAAATACATTATAAAGAAGACATTCAGTAATCTCTAAGTCATTTTCTTTTCTTATGCTAGTAACCAACATATAACATTGTATCACATCATAGATACGTAGATATATACATATAGGTAGACAGAGAGACAGAGATGCATAGATAAATAATATATAGAAAACACTAAACATCTATGAATTTATATATGGATGATGCATAGTGCCCAAAAAAAGATTAGTGATATTCTGTTGCGATTGGTATAAGATGTTTGGGTATGAACTTGGCATTTGAATTGTCTTCCAATTTTGAATCTCTGATTTTTCATATGGCAAATGGAAATCTCTATACATACCTCATGTGTTTGTGTAAGTTAACACATTAACAAATTAACACATTAACACATAGACCAATTGTTAATTCCATTTTTCAGCATTAATAATTACTGGACAGTAAGCAATAGCTGGGATTGGCACACGGTTCATTGGATGCAATTGTTAGGGTCATATACCCAATTATTTTAGCTATTGCAACAAATAAACTGAGTTAAGTATGAAACTATGCCATTAAATTCTTAGTAATTAGCTATTTTTAAAACTTTTGAAAAAGAACCAAATTTAAACTAGTCAGTTTAATTCAGTCATATAGATTTAGTGCAAATACAAGCAAGACAAATGAAATGTTTGTTTTCTTGATCCCAAATAGTATCCAATACTTAGTATCAGTATAACACATATATGAAAGAAAATAAACTTTCTCCATCTGAATATTGTTTACTCAATATTTTTTGTTTCCCAAAAAATTATTAGAATTAATAGGTAATTTCTTAAAAATTACTAAATAAGAGGAGCAGGAAGAGCTAAGGTTCCTCAAAACAAACAAAAACCCCCAAACCTGTTTTCCTCCTCCTCTCCTAAGATGTATTGAGATGAACTAATGGATAATAATGTCCTAATTAGAGCCCCTGTGTTCCTCAGGGAGTTTGCTACAGCTGAAAGTGGAGACTTGAGGAAAGCTGGAGACACAATGCTTCAGAGTATGTCTTCTACAAGGGTAAGGGAAGTTGTAGAAATTAAATCTGTATTTGGACCTTGTGCTCAGGTATCCAGAGGCACAGTATCTTAAAGCAAAATACCTCCAGGCACTTTTCACATAAGTTCGTTTTTCAAAGACTCTCTTCCTAGTGCTATGACTTGACCTCAGAGGTCTAAATCCAGAAATATAACACCTAATCCTCAGCTATGCCTAAAATTTTCAGTTATGAATTATGTTTAATGCTAAGCTTTCTTCAGATATAGAGGGATATATTATATATTTGCAATAAAGTGAAAAATGATAATGTGCATTTGTTTTAGTTTTAAAATAGAAGTCAATCCAAAGCTAGGATTTGAAACCAATCAATGTTTAAGCCTTATTTTAAATTCCATTATTGTTTTTCATGGTATTTTATCTGTACATATTGTTAAGTATAAGGGGAAGAGAGAGATAGAGAGTGAGAGAGGGATAGACAGAGAGTGAGAGAGAGAGACAGACACAAAGACAGAGAGAAAAAAGGAAGAAAAAGAATAGAGACAGAGAAGGAAAAGAAAATAGGGAAGGGGAAGGAAGGGAGAGAGAGAGAGGTAAGGAGGAAAGAAAGGTCTGGAGAGCAAAGAGTGAAGGCAAGAGGCAGGGAGGACACAAATTTTATTTAAGAAACATAAAATTACTGAAAGACAGGAACAGTTATCTTTCCATTTATAAAATATAGATCAAAATAATTCTGCTGTGCTGGTCAACTGAATGTAAATTTTCTCATGTATTATACATTTTGTCATTTGCCTTACCTCCAATGTTTTGCAATGTAATGGAAACAAAAGCTCCAATTTTCCCAGGCCATCCAAATGCTTTTTCCCCTAATTTCTCATAAATTAATGAGCCTGTATTAAAAAAAAGAAAAAAAGAGAGAGGGGAAGGAAGGAAGGAAGAGAGGGAGGGAGGGAGGATGGAAAGAAGACTCATTGAAATATTCATTTTAATCATTTAAAACATTTCTATAGAGAGTCATCATGGCACAGTGGATAGAGAGCTGACTTCAGTGTCAGGAAGACCAAGGCCTATTTCCTGCTTCTGACAAATATTGCATAAGTCATTTAGTAACTTCTCAGTGCCATAGGCAAATCTCTAAGACTGTATCTTGCAGAGAAGGTGCTGTTTTGCTTTGGTAGAGGAGATTGATCATTAAGAATATACCAGGAGGCAGCTAAGTGGCACAGTGAATAGAGCTCTGGCCTTGGAGTCAGGAGTTCAAATCCAGCCTCAGACACTTAACATTTACTAGCTGTGTGACCCTAGACAAGTCACTTAACCCCGATTGCCTCACCAAGGAAAAAAAAAGTATATACCAACAAAAGCATAGGTCTGGTCTCATTCCCAAAATGTTTTTTCATAGTGCAACTTCATTTTATTTCATGTACAAAGAATTTAAAGAAAACTCAAGCACATTTATATCATAGGACCACAGAATCACAGATGTTAAAGGAATGTAGTTCATCCAGTCCAACTCCCTTATTTTAGGGATTAAAAAAACTGACGACCAAAGAAAATAAATGTTTTACCAAATGCTATACAGAAAATAAAGTAGTCTAGCAGCAGCAGTAGCAGGTAGCATTTAAATTGTGCTTTAAGGTTTACTAAGTGCTTTACAAATATTGTTTCATTTTATCCTTGCAACAACCCTGGGAAGTAGGTATTATTATTATCTCCATTTTACAGATGAATAAACTGAGGCTAAGTAAGGGTAGTCAAGTGGCTTGTGCAGGGTCCCACAGCCAAAAAGTGTATGAGTCAAATTTGAGCTCAGGTCTTCCTGATTCCAAATCCAGCACTCTGTCTACTGTGCCACCTTGCTGTAAGAGTAGAGAGTTAAATCTGAGTCTTCTGACTCCAAATCCAGTCCTCTTTCCACTGTACTATAGTGCCTCTCTTCACATCAGACACAAAAAGAAAACAAGAAATTTCAGTAAAAAACAACAACAATAATTAATAACCTACAGATACAGATAACAGTTCAAAACCAATCTTAACTAGACATACTGGAGCCATCTTGGGGTGGGGGGAGGGGCGAAATGGGATGAAAATTTGGAATTCAAAATCTTCTGGAAGTAATGTTGAAAACAAAAAAATAAATAAAAATTATCATAAAAAAAGACATACTGGAAAAAAAATTTAAATTCAAAATCTTTATGTGTGTCAGATTTTAAAATCCAAAATCTTTATATATGTCATCTGCCACTAACCCCCTCCATGTCATTTGGAGCTTACATAGGTCCATTGATTTGCCCAAGAAACTTAAAAAGTTGGTAATTGTCATTGAGAATAAAACACGATAAGAAATTAAAGGAAATTAGCATTGGGGATCAAAAATTCTTTCAACAGAAAGTCAAAGCATAAGGCCATGTATTATGTGGAATACAAATTTGATATTAAGGATAACATACCTCCCTCTTTGGCTGTCTTCAGTAAAAGGTGAACTGAATAGAGAGATAATATTGCTACAGCAAGCAGCATGATTCTAAGAAGATAATAAAGGATAGGAAAAGAGCAATAAGCAAGGTATAATCAGTCTAAACTTTATATCATAAACCCAAAGTCCATAGCATACATTGGGGAATTAAAGTAAGAGAATAAAGCTCACTACTAATATGCTGAATTTTATAATTAAAAAATGAACAAAGGGTAAAATTTTGTGTTGGCATATTGAATATCTGAGTAAAATGGCTATCCCTATTCAATTGCTAGATCAAGTTCAGCCTCAAAGGTGGAAATATAATGGTACTGGCAATAATGTGTGAGGTTCATTTGACTACCTTTTTTTTTTTCTTTTTTAGTTCTTAGCAAAAGCTTTCTAACTGTGAATTCAGCATTCACTGCCATTCAAGAAAAACTAATGTGGATGAAGATGCACTGCCTAAAAGACCATGGAGACAAAAGTTGGGGCAATACCTAAAGGAGGAGTAAAAGTAAGGGTATATTAGTGAATGTTTAACAATAGGCTCCCCTGGGGGGCAGAGGAATGTACATGCAACACACTTTAAGATTAAACTACCTTATTAACTTTTTCTCCATCACTTTTTAAAGTCTTAGACAATCAAAGAATTAATAAATGGGTTATTTTTGTGTGTATAGGCATGGTCATTGTTTGGTAGGAACTTCACATGAATCACAGCAAAATTAATGTCACATTTATATGTTTAAGGCTTAGAAAGTCTTACCAATAGCAACTGTGATCTCTTAATAAATTACAGCAATCTTGTGAGGTAGATAGTTGTAAGTATTATCATACCCATTTCACAGATAAGGAAATGGAGGCTTTAGGAGTAAATTTTCATGGATAGTCCGGGTATTTTCTCTCTTTTTATAACTAACCATGGGACAATTAACTAAGACCCAAGCAACAAATATCAAAGCTAGGATTTGAACCTAGGTTTTCTGATTTCAAATCCAGTACTGTTTTCGCTGCCTCTCTGGTAAGAGAATTCAGAACAACTTTAATATTACCAAGGCAGCCTGTGTAGGCTAAAATAGATCCCCTCCATTTATCCCTTCCTCATCTCCTCAGCTGCTTAGACCTTATGTGCAAGACGAGTGACCAGAGGAAGTACCATCCTTCCATTCTTTCCTCTCACCTCTTATTTGGTGGTCTGGAAGAACAGGATGGCTCCTTATATAATTTAGATGACCCGCAAACCACCAACTACAATCTTTCTGGCAAGGTAGACAACCATCACATTTTCTCATATTTTTCTGTCACTGAAGTTCCTCAGCGCCTTGCCATTAATCATGGAGTTCTGTCCTCCAGACCCCTGGTCAATGGCATCTAACCTGTCAATTCATTCTAAGGACCTTTGGATCTTGTGTTCCATTCTGTAGAGACATCTTCAGGACTCTGGGGCCATCCTATTTGCCCTGTACATGAACTCTCATACTTATGTCTTGTTTCCTTTTGTATTTATATCGCCCGTGATTGGAACATATGCCTAATAAATGCTTTTTATTTGTTCATTCAACAAACACTTAAATATTTACATTTTGTTTTTACATAACCTTTATTTCTAAATATATTCCTCTCTTATTCCCTATCCAGAGAGTCAACCCTATAATGAGGAATAAAAAATAAAGAAAAATTAGTCCAGTAAAACTAATGCATCAACTGCAACATCCTGCAACCATAAACTCTGAAAAGAAGGGAGGAAGCGTATTTTCTCATCTTTTATTTCCAAACAAGTTTCAACATTAATTATAACAAATCTGCTATGATCAAGGTACCATGTTGGGTTATAAGGATTCAAAGACAAGGTCCCTGACCATACGTTCTACTGGTTTTACTTTTGCATCATTAGACTACTTCAATTATTGAAGAGTTGGTAAAAGTGCTATAGTTTCTTGATACCTTGCAAATGCATATCTTTTATCCAAAGATCATTTCAATTGAATAATTGAAAAATATAATACATGTATTGGACACTTACATAAAAAGTATTATCCCAGTGTTGGCCATGGCATATGACAGCCCTAAGATTCCACTCCCCATAATGGCATTACTGAGGTTAAATGATGACATTCCAAAAGATGTGGTTCCAGGATGCTTGAAAAAAGAGTGAGCATTCTAATCAAACACTTGCAGAAGGCAGCCCCATTTTGATTACTGGCATTCTCATTATTTTCCCCACAATATCTTTGCTGATACAAAGTCTGAGGACTGACCAAGGTAAAATTGCTAGGAATAAATGTGATTTTTGGTGGAATGCTATTTTATTTCAGTAGGCTCTAAATAAATTTTTATATATACATATGTCTTTTGCTCTAATGAAGGGTAATATAGAATCGTAAGTATGATTTCAATACAATACGAAAAGAAAGAAAACATTTCATATGATATCATGAAGGAGAAAAACTAGAGACTTAAGTATGATTTCAGTTTATGTTTGGGTTGCAGTAACTTTTTTTCTTTACAAAACAACTGACATCACAAATGAATTATACAGACATATGGTGAACAGAAAAAAAAACAAGCCTTTAACCTAATGAAGACCTGAATAAACAAAGAATATGCTGATGAAAGCCTTGGAAAATTTCAGTCATATTGTTTTTCCCACAGAGATTCAGACAGACCTGACATCCTTGATTCCTGTTTTTATGTGCTTAAAAGCATGAATTAACTTACATGTTCTTCATCATAGTCTACCAACTTCTTTTTGCTTAGAAGTCCATTTGTCAGAAACTTCTGGCTTTCATCATCATCATTAGCAAATTGACTAAACCCAAACAAGAAACAAAGAGGAAAATAACAAAACAGCATTATCAACAAATACTTGGGAAGTATACTTATTTTACAGGCAATCTAAATAAAATGGGGTAAGAGGTAATGAAAAGAACAATTGATATTAAAGGAATGCCATCTCATTTGGAAAGTTCAGAATACATTTAGAACCTTTATTATTTAATTATCATTAGCCCCAGACTGAGTAAGTGCTGTTTTTAATATTGTACACCTTATTACTACATACTTGACCCTTAGCACACTTGATAAAGTCTCTTCATGTAACTTTCAGTATAGAGAATTAGTAATTTCACATCATACACGTATGACAAACTCTATCTTATATCCAAACTCTTCTTTAAATCCAGAGTGAGTCTTTTCCTAAGTATATCACTCCTACCCCATGAGAGCAACAGTAGTACCTTCTGGGAGATAAGCCAATACTTTTCCTAGTGTAACTGCAAACATGATTGTATTATCTCTTTTAATTGGCCGTTTTCGCTGCCTCTACTCATCCCTCTTAACTGTTTTCATCCCAGACAACAGAATTCTTAGTTGCAGCTCTGATTATATATTTCATCGACCTTAGTTTATCACCTTTCCTCACAGAGACAAATACTTCTGTGAGATATCACCTTCCTCCAGTTTCCTCTGCCTTCTTGAGCCAAATTTTAATGGTTAGGTTTTAATTAATATATATTTTCGAGTATAACAGAAAGATTGCAGGAAGGATAGTGAACAGACTTGGGTTCAAATTTCAGCTCTGATCTTGGCTGTGTGATCATAGGCAAGTCACTTAACTTCCCTAGGTTTGTTTCCTTTTCATAGCAACCCTTTGAATTAGGTAGGGCAAGTGTTACAGCCCCCAAAAAACTGAGACCCATCTGAAGACATTATGCGAATTTACCAATTTTATGTAGCTTGTAAGTAACAGAGCTGGGACTTGAATTCAAATGTACTGTCTCCGAGTCTAGAGCTTTATTCTGATTTTGTGCTATATAGTTGACAATGTTCTTTTTCCTAAGTAATTTTAAAATCTTTTATTAAGTATTTAAATATGTGATTAAATAAAATAATTTGATTAAGCAAGTAAACAATGTTTCATCACTATCCTATGTTGATGCCTCATTGTGATATCTAGGCTTTTGAAGGCTATTTCAGTATAGTGCCATCTCTGGCAGTCCCATCAGGGTAAGAAGGCCTCAGAATTGGTGCTGGCAAGGTGGTCTAAGGACCAGCCTGCCTTCTGATTACAGTAGCTCATCAACTATTGAATAAGGTCTGGAAGTGTTTTGATCTGTGTTAGTGGAGAAAACACACCTATGCAATCACAGATTTTTAAAATCTGAAGGCATAGTTCCTCTAGTATGCATAAAGGTCTAGCAAGAGTGAGACCACCAAAATCTATGTCCCTGTAGTCCAGGCAGGTAATGGAGACTAATGTTCCAAATGAACCCCTGGCTTCCAATCTCGATAAGCATCACTCTCTAGTTTTCATGCAGCCCCTAATTATTGTCAATGACATACCTTTTAATAGGGACCTTTACTGAATTTACCATCTCTATATAGCTGTCTGGGACACTTTCTCCGCTACTGCTTTTGTCATCAAGTTGGATGTTGGTTTTCTGCAGTTCCACAGAATCCATTTGAATTGTCAGCATTTCCTAGTCTCTACAGCAGCTTCTTCAGTGCAAACAACGGGCTGTACCTTGAGTCTGAGGTTCTCCCAACATATACTGACTTTCTGAACACTGTTCTGCAAATGGAACACAAAGTAACTCTAAGTTTCCTTAGATTCAGAAAATGAACATGAATTGCTGTTTGTTTATCACAATGATTTATAAAAGAAAAGAAGCTTCTGCATATTGGAAAGGTTCAAGTACAAATGAAGACATACATTTGTCATTTCACTTGTATATATGGTATTCTACACATACACACAGACACACACAGACACACACACACCCATGCTCCCTAAAGGTTACAACTCACAGCTGAAGACTATGATCTAATAGACCTGTAGCTAGGTAAGTGTTAAAAGATGGGGAAGAAGAGGAATGCTTAAGTGCAACCCTAGCACTTTATTACTTCACCATTTTGACTTTATAATTTAAAGAAAAGCAAGGAAAAAGTAGAATTTGTTTTTATAAAAGTTTTATGATTTACTATTTTGTTAGATTTTTTTCTCACTACCCATGCTGGGGATAAATTAAGAAAGCCACTCTCTCAGTTCACTAAATGGTACTCTTTTTGTTGAAAGAGCTTAAGTAGCCTTCCAAAATGCTTACTTTTTAACACATTCTAGAATCAAAAAAGCAACAGGATCTTTGAATCAGCAATCTAAAGCTTGAAGAGAACTCAAAGTCCATCTAGACTAATGATGTCAAAGGCAAATAGAAATGGATCCCTGCAGCTGCATATTGAGTTAGAAAACCACAAAATAACATTATCTATGTTGTATTATATTCCTATTTATTTTGTTAAACATTTCCCAATTATATTTTAATCTAGATTGGGCCATACTCTGGAGTTTTGCACTGCTTGCTTCTGACCAATTACTGAGGTCCACAGGATCTTAGAGTTGGAAAATGATCCTCATCAAATACTAAAAGTTAGAAGAGCAAAGATCATTTAGTATGACTTCTTCATTTTATAGATGAGAAAACTGAGGTTTAAAAAAGTGAAGTAAATGGCTGAGGTTAACAGCTAGTTAGTGTCAGAGCTGGGACTAGAATTCAGGCCTATTTATCCATTGATATTTACAGTTTAGCAAAGTTTATGGAGTGATGTTAAATATGTTAAATATGAAACAACTGTGGTATGGTATCCAACCATAGAAAGTTATGGGAATAGAGAAGACTGAGGTTCATCTTCAGAGGAGGATATTGAGGCAAAGAAACCCTCTTCTACCCCAAAGAGTACTGTTAAATGGTCACCTGCCCAAAAAGAATTTATAGAAGAACTTAAAAAAGACTTTAAAAATCAAATGAGAGAGATTGAGGAAAAACTAAAAGAAAAAAAAGAACAATCCGAGAAAAGAAGATTATGAAAAGAAAGTCAACCAATTAGAAAAGGAGATCCAGAATCTTGTAAACTATTTAAAAAATAGGTAAAGGAATCCTACCATATTCTTTCTATGACACAAATATGGTCTTTCTCCCTAAACAAAGGAGAATCAAAATAGAGAATGAAAACTATAGACTGATTTCCCTAATAATTATTGATGCAAAAGTTTTAAGTAAAGTGCTAGCAAGGAGATTATAACAATGTATCACAAAGATCACATACTATGCCCAGGGTAGATTTATACCAGGAATTTAGGGGTAGTTCAGTATTAGGAAAACTATAAGCATGGTAAGTTTTTCTTGGAAAGTTCATTTATGGCTTATTCAATTTCTTTTCCCAACATAACATGTAATTTAAGTATTCTATTTCCTGTTCTGTTCATCAGAGCAATTTATATTTTTGTAAATATCTATTGCATTTAGATTATCTGTTTTATTGGTTATGGTTGGACAAAATAACTCTTAATAATTGTTTTTATTTTCTCTTCCTTTCTCTTCCTTCTCTTTCTTTCTTGTTAATTCACCTTTTTATTTCTTGATATCAGTATTTTGGTTTTCTTCTTTCTTTTTAAAAAAAGAGCCAATGTTTTATCTATTTTAGAGTGAGTTTTTTTAAAAAAATAGCTCCTATTTTTATTTATTAGTCCAATGGTTTTTACCTTCAATTTTGTCAAACTTTTCTTTGATTTTCAAGGCTTTTTATTTTTATGTTTAATTGGGAATTTTGAATTTGTTCTTTTTCTATTTTTTAGGTGCATGATCAATTGACTAATCTGCTCTTTCTTTTGATAATGAAAGAGTTTAGAGATATAAATTTTCCCCTAAGTACTGCTTTGGCTATATCCCACACATTTTGATAAGTTTTTCTCATAATTATTATTATGTTCTTTAATCTACTTATTTTTTAGGATTAGATTGTTTCCAACTGATTTTTAATGTATGCTTCAAAGGCCCTTTATTAAATGTATCATTTCTTGCATTATGACCAGAAAAAGATGAATTTAATGTTTCTTCTATTCTGCATTTGCTTGTGAGTTTTTAAAGCCCTAATAAATGATGCATTTTTGTGATGGTGCTACACACCACTTAGAATAGGTATATTCCTTTCCATTCCTATTAAATATTCTCCAGAGAGCTATCATATCTAACTTTCTCAAAATTCTATTCATCTCCTTACCTTCTTTCTTTTTTATCTGATGTTTAGATTTATCTAGTTCTGAGAGGGGTAAATCAAGGTCCCCCAGTAGTATAGTTTTATGGTCTATTTTGTCCTGTAACTCATTTAACTTTTAAGAAGAAGCCAGAAAGTGAAAAACAGGGGAATAAAAATAAAAAGATGTTAAAATTACCAAAGATTTCAAAAGGAAGAAAAATCAGTTGATGACCTTGAACACAAGCAGATAGGGAAAAAATAACATAAGAGGGGAATATGACTTCCAAATCAGCTAAACACAGCAAGATATCTATGATTAAATATTGCAAAACAAAGGAAAATGATCAACACTTGATAAGGCAGAGGACTCGGTGGATTACCAAGCAAATATGGAACCATAGCATGATGTTCCTAAATGAATTAAGGGAGAAATAAGAATTATGAAAGTGGTATTTATGGCTTGCATAGCAGAAATAATTGGCAGAATAGCAAAACTTGAATCCATGGTATCAAATCTCACCAAAGAAACAAAAGAATTACTGATTGGGAATGTGTCTACACTGAAGCAAAGGACAACCCAGAAGAAGAGAAGCAAAAAGATACAATACTTAAAGAAAACATGACCTCTATACAAACAAAACATATTGACCATGAAGGTAAGATGCATAGAGACAATTTAAGGACCAAAGGTATTCAAAAGAATATGACAAATAAAAAAACCTAAATACCATAATACAAGAAATAATATAAGAAAATGGTTAGAATTTTTGAACACAGAAAACAAAGTGCCAATCAAAAGAATCTATGGATCACCTCCAACAAAATCTATATTACAAATTCTAAGACACATAGTGGTTAAATTTGACAATTGTAATAACAAACAACAAATCCTGCAAGTGACCAGGAAGAAGGAAATGATTCTAGTATCTTTGCCAAGAAAAAACTCAAATGGGATCACAAAGAGTCAGACACGACTGAACAACAACAACAAACCTTAGAAATCAAATTTCCATTCATTGTTTTATTTAGATAAATGGGTTTATCTGTTATTCACTATTTGTGGTGGTCTTTTGTGTAAACAGAGTTTGGTGGGAATGGGCTAAGTTGGCAAATGTAAACTAAGGACTACTCTCCCCTTCTTAAGAGTAGGCAATGAAATATCTCTCTTGAACTCCTAAAACATATCCCTAGATGAGATATATTTTAGGGATAACAGATTATAAATCTAGCCCAATACCCCTTTTGGGCATAGAAGAAATCTCCCAATCTTGGCAGTCTTGTATTCTGTCTGCCTCACCTTCTCAACTAGGTTGCTGACAGGGCCCTCCTCCTACTTTCAATAGAGGTGGGCCAGACCTCAGATTATATCTGTCCAGGCCATCTATGAGCTATGAATCTATATTTTATAACATATAATATATATGTGTGTATGTAACTTTTTAGTGCTTTTTTTTTTCATTTTTCCTCTTTCTGACATTGCTGAGTTCCCTACATTTTCAACTCTTGTATCATTTTGTGTGCTGAGTGTTGGAAAGAAAGAGCAAGATGGGATAATGGTTCTTGGATGCCTCTCAGGTTGCCATTTTCCCAGTTCAGCATTTTTTCAAACTTGTTAAAGTTCAGAAATGTATAGCAGTAACATGGTATAACTAGTCAAATTTTTGTCTGATATGTAGAATATAATCATAGTATTGAAAGAGTACTTAGAAATTCTCTGGTCCAATACCCTTATTTTAAAGGGGAAATAAACCCAGGGAAGTAAAATAATTTGTCCACATTCAAACTCAAATTGTCACCCAGTGCTCCTTCTACAGCATTACTATTGCCTGCTCCAGTTCCTGCGTCATCATTTACTAATAAAATACATTTACTATATATTGTTTCATAGATTGTTGATGTTGATCTCCATAATTAACTAATTATACAATATATATTAGTCCCCAAAGGCTTAAAAATTGAAACTATACAATTTACCATGAATATCAATTAACTTCTTTTTATTGAAAGTATCAGGGATTGCTTTTTATAAATCACTATTTTTAATACCAATCCAAGCATTGCATTTACTTGATGCGAAAAACTGAAGAAATTAGATGTTTTCCATCACTTGTTTAGTGTTTACATCATTTGTCAAAAGTTAAATGTTGTTCATATTCTAATACTGGGGAATAAAAGTAAGGTTCTTAAGAAAACACCTCAAGAAAACTGATTTTTCTTCCTTTTGAAATCTTTGGTAATTTTAACATCTTTTTATTTTTATTCCCCTGTTTTTCACTTTCTGGCTTCTTCTTAAAAGTTAAATGAGTTACAGGTCAAAATAGACCATAGGTAGGTGGTGCAGTTGATAGAGCACCCGCCCTGAAGTCATGAGGACCTGAATTCAAGACACTTGATAGAAGCTGGTGTAACTGATGTTTAAACTAAGTGTACACCAGTAAACTGATTTGGGAATTTTATTTTGTTTTTTTTTTTTAAAGATCTGACTCAAGTTTGACAAAGGGAGGTGTTGGAGTGGAGTAGTGATAGTGATTGGCTCATTCAGTTTACTCCCACATGTCTTTAAATCATTGCCTAGCTGCACAAAGGTTCATAGAAGTAAACTCTTTTACAAGTGTATGTCATTCCAAACAACTAAGAAAAGAGGAGAAGATTGGATGGTTGGCTGATCTCAGACCAGACACTTGACACTTACTAGTTTTGTGACCCTTGGACGAGTCACTTAACCTCAATCGCGTTAACAAAAAAACAAACAAAAAAAGAAAACACTGTATTTGAAGTTTAATTGTGAGCACTAGAAAAAAAAAACCCACAAAAGTCATCATAAATAATAATCTCAAAAGAATTCTCACAAGAGCCTTTTCTATTTAGGCTTAAAAAATAGATAAACACCATCAGTTACTTGTATTAAATTGAACTACCAAAATGTGATTGGTTTTGCTATTTCCTAGATATTTTATTGAAACTAATACCAATTATTTTGTAAGTTGACACAGAAAATTGTGATAAGGTCCACAGAAAAGCTTTTTCTCTTACCGAATTTATCCTATAAAAATCATGCATCTTAATATGTAATTAATTCCTTTCCATCAAAATCTGATATCACATTTAGGTTTTATCCATTCCATTTGTATTACAGAAGAGCAGATTCATTGAGAACAGTCTAATTCAGAAGGCAATTGAAGGCACTCAACTTTTTCTTCACACTGATCACAGAGTAGTCTGACCTCTTGGTGCATAATGTAATCACTAACTTGAGATGAATTAACATATTAGGACCTATTGAACCCTTATTATTCTGAATGGTTTCTCTCTTTAACTAAAATGAGTTTTCAAGTTAATGGAAAGCCTCAAAGTACAAAATGCATCCTTCTTTAAAACTATTTCTTCTAACACATTATTTTAATTGTAACATTTACAAGGATTAACCAGAAGCTACATAGAGCTACACATCTTATTACTTGATCACTTCCAAAGCTTTAATCTTTCCTGTTGCCTAGTACATTCATTTTGTCCAAACCACCAAATTATTATCTTAAAAAGCACAGAGCAACAGAGATTTGGATCACTAAATATTAAACATAGTATTTAGTGTTTTCAGAAGGAGGAAAAATGCTTAAATTATTTTCTTTAAGCAGTTAATTTTAGAAATGAGAAAGATAATAATATTAAGAAAGTAAACCCAAATTTAGTAAGAACATTCATATTGAAAAAAAAATTATCTTTACCTCCAAGCCAACCATCCAATCCTCCCCTCTTTTCTTAGTTGTTTGGAATGGCATACACCTGCAAAAGAGTTTACTTATATGAACCTTTGTGCAGCTAGGCAATGATTTAGAGACATGTGGGAGTAAACCAAATGAGCCAATCACTAACACTACTCCACCCCAACACCTCCCTTTGTCAAACTTGCGTCAGCTCTTTAAAAAAAAAACAAAATAAAATTCCCAAATCAGTTTACTGGTGTACACTTAGTTTAAACATCAGTTACACCAGCTTCTATTTGCTTTCTGAATTTGGCATTAATACAAGTACACTATAGCTGAAACTTTTCTATAGCTTACTGTCATTCCATATCAAAATAATATAGACTAGCTCCCAAATAGAACCTCAAAACGGTTACTGTAAAAGAGTTTTCATACAGGAATAAACAGAACAAATTATGTTTTGGAAGTCAGGTAAGAAGAACCACCACAAAAATTACAAAAGCAGATCATTTCCTACATTCATTCCTTTAATTCAAATAAAGAGTAAATATTTTAATTTGCCTAGAAAGTTTTTTTTTAGTATTGACAAGAAAAACAAAGCAAGTTTTAAGCAGAATGATACCAGAAATAGTACAAAATTCCACAACATGGAATGTGTTCAACAATAAGGAGTTACAAGATTTAAAATTCAGTTCCATCTTTATCTGCTGCCACCATTCAAGTGATATAATAAGGTAATGCCCCAAAGAAGCAAGAATGTCATAGTAAATTAAAATATCGCTGCTACTTAAGGAAAAAAAATAACTTTTCACCTACTTTAGAGTTTTCTCATTTGTTCCTTATAAATGTTAATAATTTATGTTTGTGTATTACTTTAAGCTTTACGTATCACTTTCTTCACAACAGTTTCATATATATTATCATCTCCATTTTACAGATGAAGAAATTAAGGCTCATCAAGTTGAAATGACTTGCCTATGTAGTGAGATCACAAAAAATAAATGTTTGAGAGAACAGTCCAATCCAAGTATCCTAACCCCGGATTCTCCACTACATCAAAATACACAGTTCTCAATGCAGAGTTGAAAAATGTACACCCAGGTTCATGAAATGATGAAGAGTTGGTTTAGTATGCTTAACTTAAACCTCCCTATAAATTGGTATTCCAAAAGTGAAACAAGAAAGGTAGATTAAAAAACTAAATTCGCAATTGTTTTCTTTGCCTTTTAAATAATAATAATAATACATGCTTGGGTAACCAGTCAGCAGCAATACTTTATGATAACAGTTTTGTCAATTCTCTATTGATAATTGTATAGAAAAACAATAGAACATTGTCCTTAAAGTAAGAAATGTTTTTCTCATGAAAGAGTAACATTAAGTGGTGTAGAATAATCTTTTTTTTTTCTTTTTTAAAATGAGCCTTTTGGAGCTAATTTGGAATTCATTTTGTACTTCCACACATTGGATACATTTTGCTTATCTTTTCATTAACATGTTCTTTATTTTTCTCACTCCTTTGAATTTTTTTTGTCTAGTGAAAATAACTGTCGTTTATAAGGAAAAGAGAATTATAAAAGCCCTATTGCCTCTGATACACTGTAGTTTCAAAGAAGTAAAAGTCATATTTATTTTGAAAGGATGATTTCCATTATTAAAGTTGTCTCAAATAGCTCTAACAGCACAACAAAGGACGTTTTCCCCTTATTTTGAAAGTTAATAGCAACAATATCACCCCCAAAGGATTTGAGGAACAAATGAAATAATATATGTTAAACATGTTGCAAACTTTAAAGTACTATGTAAATGTCATCTATTATTATTATTTTAAGCAAATGAATGCCTTTGTTTTTATAAAACTCAGCACAGCTTCTATGAGAAAAGAATACAGCTGTAATCTAACTTCATTTGAACTTCTCCAGCCTTTCCATACTTTGAAGTACCAAAGTCTACTTCAAAACTACAATGACTTGTGATTTCATCATTTGTTAATCTTGTCCTTAGATGGGAGAAATATACTCCATTACTGGACCCATACTGTAAACCTTCTAGTTTGGGAGTATCTGTCAGGGCTTGAATTCGAACTTTTTGTAATTTTTAGCATTCATGGTCAAAAAAATTTACTAAACTATAACTCAGCTTTGAGCTGGCTATACCACTACAAGGTCTATATTTCAAAGAGAGCAAAGAAAATAGAAAAGGACCCACATGCACACAAATATTTATGTTTTCATGGTAACCCCAAACTGGAAACCAAGTGAATATCTACCTACTAGAGAATGGCCAAATAAATTGTAGTATATGAATGTGATGGAATATTATTTTGTCCTCAGAAATGATGAAATGGACAGTTTCAAAAGAAACTGGGAAAACCTCTATAAATCAATAACAAATGAAGTGCATATAACTAGGAGAACAATTTATGTGACAATAATTTTGAAATACTTTAGAAATTTGATCAATGCAATGCTAAACCATAAGTATAGAGAACTGGAGATAAAACAAGTCAATCACCTCCTGCCAGAGAGGTGTAATGTAAAATGTGACATATATTTTTGGACATGATTGATGTGGGAATTGTTTTGCTTAACTATACATGTTTATGGTGAGAGGTTTTTGGTGTTATTCAATTGGGAAGGGGCAATAGAAGGGAGAGCTAATAAATACTTGCAAAGATGAAATAATTTGTGGTTTCCTCCACAGCATGACAAAGCATTAGAGATGGTCTTTAATGGAGGAGGCATGAATGAATGCACAGCAGGAATAAAAATTGATCAGGCTATTTGTATGTTCTCATTTGAATGTTCTAATTCTATTTTTTGGTTTAAAGCTTCTGACAATTCCATTAATCATACTTAATGCTAGCAATCTTCAAATGCCCTAAAAAACACTCTAGCTTTAAGAAAAAGATCACAGTAATTTAGCATTTTGGATATGAAGTCCACGTGAGATGATTTCCTTATATAACCATCAAGTGGTGCTGGCAAACAGCAGGTCAAATGTTCAATCACCCCAGAACCTAGAATTCTAATTGGACATGCCTGGGGAACTTGGTCCCTACCCCCTTCATATTAACATAGCTTCCTTAGGAACTCATTTCTCTATTGTGGTATGGCTTTCCTTTCACTCATCTCATTTATTGTCTTCTAGAGGTCAAGAAAAAAAAAATGACTGTTTGCCTCCCCTCTGTCACTCACCTCTGTCCTTTTCAGTTCATATTTAACAGGAGTGGCTCCTAGGGGTTGTTCTCTTTCTCTTTCATAAAATCTCTTCTCTGTTAAATGTGTGGCTCAAATCCCCAGCCAATTTGTATTAGCAAAATCCAAATTGGCTTTACAAAAATTCAATAATTCTGATCTCTTTTCTCCCAGATTTGCCCCCCACCCCTTTCCTAATCTTCCTGAAAGCATTCAAGTAAACAGAATTGCTATCAATAGCTTTCTGGTATTAATACAATTTTAAACACATAAGTAGAGAAACCCAAAATATTGCTTGAATAGTTCTAATACCAATCACTAAACTTTCCGCGAAGAAGGGCTTCCCTCTTCCTCCCTCCCCCCCCACATCCTCTCTTAAGATAAGTGAAAACAAGAAGTAGATTAAAATATCAGACTGGTGGATCTCTCTTCCAGAAAAACATCAGGTGGGATGAAGGTGGAGGAGGGAGGAGCCAAAGATAATCTCACCAACAGGCATTAGCAGACTTTGGACTCCCTCTCCCTCTCCCTCTCCCTCTCCCTCTCCCTCTCTCTCTCTCTCTCTCTCTCTCTCTCTCTCTCTCTCTCTGTCCCTGTCTGTCTGTCTGTCTGTCGCCTAGCACTTAGAGGTCCTCCTTCCCCTGCTACAAGTAGCACTAGTCCTATTCTGGAAGGAACCCTGTTGTTAGGGTTCCTAAAAACCAAAACAAGCATGAACCAGAAGGACATGTGGCAAAAGTTCCCACTCTCTTTCTAGCTGTTAGACCTCTAATTCTTGATGGTTTTTGGAAAGAGTGAGGGGGCAAGGGCACTAGAATCTTTTTATGCTCCTATATCCTGTGGTCTTGACCCTTTCTCACCACCCCCTTTGCAATTAATAGCACGGCAAAGTATATATTATAATTCAATGGTTGCACTGAATGCCACTGGTACAGATGGCAACTCATTTATGCTCTATCATCCTGTGTCATTCTTGACTAAGTCTTTTAAAGGATTTGTTGACATCAGGACTGTCTTATTATTTCAGTTGCAATCCTCTTTGACATCTTTTGAGAGGTCAAAAACCTCAAAGAGACTGTGTGACCATAATAGGGGCAAAACAATGAACTCAGTAGAGACACCATGCCTAAAGGTGAGTAGGCCAAATGAAAATGGTGATTTGACATGTTGAAAATATATTTATAGCTCTACAGCATCAAAGCATTTTTATTTCCTGACTATATATGTTTTTGTATACATAATCATTATGTAGGCTCACTTTTTCTACTTATCATCTAGGAATCATTCAAATAAATATAGTAATTAAACACATGAGAGATGATGAAGTAATCATGTGAGAGTACGTAGAGAAAGAAGAAAAGGGGTTCCTGGATAGGGCCTGGAGGGTTAAGATAGTTAACAGTAATAAGCATGGAGATGCAGCAAGGGAGGCAGTGTGTGCAGTCACAAAGGTAAAAGAGCCAACATGGAGCAATGGAGGGAACATTCAATTTGGAGTCAGAGAACCTCAGTTCCAGTGCCACCCCTAATATTGACTCCTTGTGTGTGTGGCTTTCAGTTAAGTACTAAACCTCCTTGGGCCCCACTTTCCTTGTATGTAAAATTAGGAGGCTGGACGCAGTGGTTTCTGACTCACTCTGGATTTATGAACCCAGGACTACGAATTCAAGAGGACATGGTGGACAAAAGTGTCATGTAGAAGAGAGGTCAAAAGAATAAAGACTGAGAAAAAGTCTTCAGATTTGGCAATTAAGAGACTATTGAAGGATGTGCTATTTATTCCTGCTGCTATATCTCTTGCCCCATCTACTTCTGCGGCTGTCGCCATGATGCCAGGTAACCATGCATGGGAAGGGTGCTGGCTTTGTATGTTCGTAGAG